TGTATTGCGATAAGTGTTTACTTTCTAACCACTTAAAAATTTATGTAAAACTGTTATTGTATTGACATCAAGCCAGAGGCGTAGCGAGGGGGGGGGGGGTGACATATGTTCCCGGGCGCCTACCTTAGGGTGGGGCGCCAAATTGAAAGTTTGAGGGGGGGTGCAAATGAAAAGTTCGAGGGGGTGCAAATCGAAAGTTTGAGGGGGGGGTGCAAATGAAAAGTTCGAAGGGGGGGGTGTAAATGGAAATTTGTGCCCGGGCGCCGGGAAGGGTCGCTACGCCTCTGCATCAAGCACAGCTGGCCCCCTCGTGTGTCGAAACACTGACAAGTGTGTTGTCCTGGCACACGTCATCAGATTACAAGTTTACGAATCCCCTTGAACAAACTGCACCTGGCTGGGTTATTGCTTCATTGATGGATTTTCGCATCCATTAGATGTAACAGCTTCTCGAATCACGTGGCTTTTGGTGAAGCTCTTGTGGAAAATGGGAAAGGTTGGGAATGAATTAAAGGAATGATTGGTAATATAGAAATGATGGGGAAAAGGGGAAAATTTGGGGATGTTGGAAAGTTGGGGAGTATAGGAAAGATGAGGAATAAGGTATGAGAAAACAAGAAAGATGGGGAGTATCGAAAAGGTTGGGAGAATAGGAAATGCAGGAAAAGATTGTTGCATATGGGAAAGATATGGTATACGGAATAGGTGGGGTTATAAAAATAATGGAGAATACGGGAAAATTGTTGCGTATGTAATAAAGTGTGGAATTTGTTAAGATTGGAGAATATACAACATGGTATTGGAATATGAAAATGGAGTAGGAACTGGCTACTGAAGGAGAAGAGTGGCGAATCAAGGAGGCGAGTAGAGCTTCAAGGAGGAGAGTGGAGCTTCAATGAGGAGTTTTACGGAGGAGGGTGGAGCATCAGGGAGGAGAGTGGAGCTTCAAGGAGGAGAGTAGAGCTTCAAGGAGGAGAGTGGAGCTTCAATTAGGAGTTTTACGGAGGAGGGTGGAGCATCAGGGAGGAGAGTGTAGCTTCAAGGAGGAGAGTGGAGCTTCAAAGAGGAGTTTTACGGAGGAGGGTGGAGCATCAGGGAGGAGAGTGGGGCTTCAATGAGGAGTTTTACGGAGGAGGGTGGAGCATCGGGGAGGAAAGTGGAGCTTCAAGGGGGAGAGTGGAGTTTTAAGTAGGAGAGTGGAGCTTCAATGAGGAGTTTTACGGAGAAGGGTGGAGCATCAAGAAGGAGGGTGGATGATTCGCTAAAAAAAATTAATTAAAAATAAAGCTTATTCATAGTACTTTGCAAAGCTATCATCAAAAACCCATTATGTTTGACAACTTTGTGGGAAGTTAATAGCAAACATAAACGCAGATGTTGTATTTGGGTATTTCGAAATATCCAACTTTTGATGTTTACGATTAATCTTTAACCCTTATGTGGCGAGTGATTGATGTCAAAGTTTCGATCTCTTCCTTCCTACACAGGGACGGAAAATATTTGCGAAGGTCGGGCCGCCCACGTCCCTGCTGTGTCCGGTTCTATAGTGGGGTGAGGGGGGTGATATAGGATTTTGATTCCTCGCCGTCTCTTAAACCACCCCCCACCTTTCTCCCGTCCTCCGTCCACAAGTGTTTGAAACAATAATCCGCAGAAAAACAATAGTATAAAAATAAAACAAAACTTGCATTCTTTAGTAAAAGCAATGGTCGCTGAAACGTGCAACAGACTCTTTAAACAACCGTTGCTTTTATGAATGAAACATAGTCTGTATAATTCATTCATTCATTATTTTCAGAGCTCATTATTTTAAAGGATTTTATTTTAATAATTGTCTTAGCTCCTAATTTTTAGTAATTTTTTTTAATAATTCGTTCTTTACGAGTCGACACCACCCACAACTAAAAGTGTTTACATTAAATCCGGGTCAGTTGTTTTCAATCTCTAAAGGATTTTTACCTTAGCCTTTTTGGTCGCTCTCAAGTGTGAAACCAATCAACCGTGACAAACAATTTACAGTTGTGGTCAGGCTGATCAAGTGTTCGCTTGAGATTATCTCAGTTATCTCCCATATTTGTACTTGAATTTATCTATCATGTAATTAATGTTAAACCCCTAATTGAATATCAAATTAGCTTTACCGTTGCCTTCAGAGTTGAGTATATTTGGCAAGTTTGGACGAGAGCACTTAAAATTGAGCGAATGACAAGATTAGCCACAAACAGAAGGACAGAAGGGCAGCCATTGTAACTAAATAAAAGCTTATAAGAATGTATAGGTTTCCAAAGATTGAAATATTTGTGGTAAAAATTAAACTAATGTCGAAACTTCAAGGACGTTAGAAAAATTTGGCTTGCATCAACCCAACCAGTATCCGCCCCTTTTGCTGTGCATTCACATAATCTTACAATAAAATGTACGTTTGATTAGCAATGTAACGTATTTTTATATGCCTTTGATATTAGATTATAAAGTATTGAAAATATTACAAAGTTTGACCGAACTCGTTTTTTTTTTGGGGTACAATCTTAGAAAGGATCGTATTCCCAATGATGTAGTAATTGGTCTGTGATTTCACTGAATCGTAGGCCGTTACGCGAAAACGTAGGCTATTTCGCCCACAGTAACCCATCCCCCACCCACACCCCACCATACACAAAAAAAATTCTTTTTACAAATCTCTTAGCAAAAACCAGAAAACGACATTAATTTTCAGAAAGCCCAATGACTTATACTACGTTGCATTAAATATCGTACACGTATTACATAACACAGAAATCGGATACCGGACCCACCCTTTTATCAGATTTAACCCGCTAAATAGAATTTTTAAAGATCCCAACCCCCCCCCCCATATTATATAACCTTTCCTAGGAACAACATCCCCTCTTCCCCCCCCCCCCCCATAATCGAGACCTTAGTGTTAGCCGCTGTATGCCCTACCACCCAACCATGAAATGACGTGCTGTGTGTGTATTGCTCTAGTTTTAGTGTGTAATGACACACCATTGTTGGAAAGAATTGATTAAATCTATGTCGTGTTAAATCACCTGTAACGATACACTGGTCGATACTAGCGGTTCTAAAATTGAATCTAACTTATATATACAGTACTAAACCCGTTTATAAGTGTGTAAAGCTTAAAAAGTTGGAAATGCTCAAATGTGTTTTCAACTCAAAGAAAAGAGAGAGGGTGAGTTAGAGTTAGTGTGAATCCACCAACTGTATCACCTCTCCAATAGCCCTGGTCAAAGACAGACCTGGAGGCGGAGTCTTCTTCGAGAACTCAGCAGCGGTGTCTTGGGAGACTGCAAAATTAACAGCAGAGGGCAGGACAAAATGAAAGGGTATGTTGGAGTTCCTATGCTCCACAAGGTGCAAAGAGGATTAAGTCGTCAATAACCTTGGTCAGGCTTAGGGAGGTTTTTTGTTATACACTGAAGTAGATTCTGATTGATCTGTTTAAAAGTACACAAATACTTAGGATTCCTACTTGATGAAGAATGAGAGTATTGAGAGTCGAAACAAAACAAGCTAATAAAAAGTCTAGTGACAATTTAAGTGCAATTTCCTTAATTAATTTTTTGTGACCGAACAAAAGGATATTTTTGAAAACTTTCTTCGGCAATATTGTTCTAAATTATGGCAGGAATCGATTGGTAAATGTTTCAAGTCGCTAAGTGGTCTGGTTGCCGAGATATGGGCCAAAAACTGCATTTTTTTTTCTAGGTTTTTTGGCTTTTCCCTGAAATCCAGGAAGGAATTCTTGGAATTTTTTTGGCCCACAAACATCCTCGGAACTTGCTTAACATATTTGCTATTGGAACTAGTCCTCGATATTGCTTCGTTGAGGAGGAGATACGACTTAAAGCTGCGGACACACATCCATCCATCCATCCATCCATAAATAACGAATTAATAATCGCAATTGTCAGTATGGAAATTGCGCTAACAATTGTCAGTATGGAAATTGCGCTAAAAAGGACGGCTAATTTTAAAACTCACTATTGTAGTATTGACGATTGCACATCTCTCGGCCTTCCACACACCTCACACTTACGTCTTCAGCGACTAGGGCAGACGTCGGAAGTTAAATTTTATTTTACCAGCCGACCCGCGGCGTATCATACGCCGCTATTTAGTTATTTTATTATCTACTTTTCAGTAATTCCTAATTTGTGAATTCGACTGTACCAATGCTGCCACTGAAAATATTTGCTTTAAACACTAACCCCCCCCCCCCCTTTCCCCTAACCCCGACCCTACACCCCCCCCCCCCCCCCAGTGAAAGCAGCCTCCTCTTAGTTACCTCCTGTAAGTTTACAATTGATTCAAACGAAATTAACTGCCCCTTATAGCCGTAACTAAACCCGGCTCTACGATTTGTAAACATTTAGAGTGAACACCGCTCACCAGACAATGTGTGGGTGGGGTGGGGGTGGTAGTGAGTGATAGAGAGAAAGAGAGGGGACTGCAAGGAGGCGCTTGCAGCTTGTTTTCTAACGGCTCCCAGAAGAGAATTATATATATAGATTTACATCTTTGCTTTGTTTGAAAGCTACCAACCTGTTGCATTTGATCAAAGATATTTTAGAAGTAAAACTGCATCGCTAGTTTTATTTATATATGTAAGTTGTTTTTCTAATCTTGAATCGGTTGTATTTATTAGAAGATAGCTATTGTGTGTAGTAGCACGCTGTGTACTCTTTTCAAACGCCCTGAAGTATTAGCGATACCCTATTCTAGGTTGAGACTGATCATTTGATTTCTGCTTTTGCTTACAACGGGAGCTGGGCTTCAGGTAGATGTCATCAAATGTATTTTGTTTGATTGTAATCAAACTAACAAAATATTAACCGTCAAATTATTCTACGTCATTGTTAAAAGATTAAGTTTCAACTGAATAAGTATAAGCCAATTTGTAAAGGTTCAATCAACGAAATTTTCAACGCAAAAACATTTTTTTTTAAACTTTGGTAATTTAATTTTTACATCCAACTTTATAAAACTTTAAATGAGATGATGACCTAGTTATGTTGGCAGACACCAAAGATTAACCATCTGCATGAAATGGAATGGTGAAAGTGATTGGAATAAATTTCAATTGGCACAACTATAAATAATAGGATACACTACTAACAGTATGGCACACTACACACATCATAACAAACTACACAAAGTAAGACAAACTGTAGCAGGGGAACACAGTACACATCAATACACTCAGTATGGCAGAGTGCACACATTATAGCACACTACACAAAGTAAGACTTGTTCATCTCTAGCTGGAGAACATCCTACACAGCCATGTATAAGAATTAATTACAAGTACCTTGGTTATAAACCTTCAACACCTGCCTTGGTTTATCTGATAAAATGCAAATATATTGCGTATCATAGCATGAGGGTTTTTTTAATTAATTCCACAACTACTTTACCTGAATTATCAACCACATCTACCACCTCAACTGGATTATCAACCATATCTATCAGTAGTACCACATCAACTGAATAATACTGAATTATCAACATCTAACAATTCAACTGGATTATCAAGTTTATCCCCATCACCTGGATTATCAAATTCACTATTTCACATCCCCTGGATTCTCAGCCACATCCTACTGATTTTTATTATCAACAACATCAATAACTGCAACATCAACAGCCTCACACCATCTTCAGCCTTTTATTCATCAAACAACTTCATAAACCACATTTTTAAAAAATGTACAGAAATATATCAACAAGTGCTAAGCCAACAGAATATTAAAGAAACTTAATGCCATCATCCACAAACACAAAACGCCTTCCATCAGGCCAGTCTGAACACCAAGTAGTCAATAACTTCCTGTCCTTCACGTCTGAATGTTTCGTCAACACAATCCTCTTCACCGGAAAACTTTCCCACGACCTGCCCAAATACGGAACATGCTCAGACAAAACTTTTTCTTTCTCCGACTGTTTTGAACCTTCACTCTTGCTGTGCATGTATTCCTTGTCGTTCCAGTTTTTCTTTTTCCCTATGACGTCTTCCTTGACGACAAGAAAGGAAACACCAAGCTCTGAGACATACTTAGATATGGCATTAACAATGGGTGCCATTTTCACCTCAGTGCTGTGGAAGTTGCTGGGGTCTAAGGCTTTGTCCAACCAGTAGAAAGCTGAGATGGTGTCAATGACGACAAGGGCTAGTTGTGGCTCGCTGGACAGTGCATGTTCCAGAGATAGCAGCGTGGCCAGAAGTTGCTGAGTGCTTTGGACCTTGATCACTTGGACACGCCCTAAAATTTTCAGAGATATTCAATTAAAATTTTTTTTTAAATGGGACACACCTAGAAATTTTGAAAGACATTCATTTTGTTTTTATTTTAACCTTGAAGATTTTTTTTTTTTTTAAACGTATTACTAGTATTACCGAATCATTAAAAGAATGTGACATATCTATGTTCTTCGTGTGAAGTTTTGATCATCTTTTCACCTTCATGCCCAAGACACACAGGGCAGATAAAGTAAAGTTCATCTGTTTCAATTACTTCAGAATGCGAGGAGGAGATAGTGTGGTCAGCACTATGCCCAGCAGCTTTTAGTTTGTTTAAAATTAGTCAGGTGCTCATCAGAACTTAGTGCAATACAGACTTAAAGCCAAGACCCAATTAGCCATTGTAAGCTCTACAACAGAGTCCCCTATGTGTGAAGTTTTACTAGGCAAATTTTTCTTTTTACACTATTCACCATGTAGTGCAAATGAAGTAGAGTTCATCTGGAATGTACCAGAGGCGTAGTGAGGGGGGGGGGGGGGGCAGGGGGGGACATTTGGCCCTCGGGCGCCGACCTTAGGGGCGGGCGCCAAATTGAAAGTTTGAGGGGGGGTGGGGGTGCAAATGGAAAGTTGGAGGGGGGGTTGCAAATCAAAAGTTTGAGGGGGGGGGGTGCAAATGTAAAGTTCGAGGGGGGTGCAAATCGAAAGTTTGAGGGGGGGTGCAAATGAAAAGTTCGAGGGGGGTGGGTGCAAATTGAAAGTTTGTCCCCGGGCGCCGGGAAGGGTCGCTACGCCTCTGGAATGTACTAAGAACTATAGCCCAGAATCTGAACTTGAGACTTTCAGGTTTTCAATCATGCTTGATGTTATAGTATTAGGTATTTTGTAAGAGTGGGGAGTACTTCATAAAAATACAGTATTTTTTAATCATACCCAATACAGCATTTTCAAAAATTTGATTTCATTTTGGGAAAAAATATCTAAAAACGTTTCCTTGAACTAATTGTGTAGGTACACAATCATCAGGACATTTAGGTAAAGCAATATTTCTAGACATGATTTCCCCCTTAACCTAAATACTTTAGAAATAACTATAAAAATGTAATTGACCGTTTTTTTTTCTCTCACAAGTTCATCTTAACCAAACCAGATTATTTTTTCTAACAAAACCATAACAATAAAGTTTACAAACCAAGGGCATCTAGTACAACCTCATCTGTCTCTTGTAGCAATAGAGTTGCAGTTCCTTCTGTGGGCTGTATAGTTCCTTCATCAGTTCTGGATAAGTCTGGTGTAACATCCCTTTTGTATGCACCATTTTCACCATGTTGACAAGTTAGATTTGTTTTTGATGTGTTTTTATGTTTACACTGCTTTAAACCGTCTGATGACACTGCAGCTTTGACTTTAATATATCCATTCTTGCATGTGTCAGAACTATCAAGAGCGCTAATGTCTTCTCCGCAAGCTTCACATTTGTTTTGGTTTGATACCCTCCTGGAAGAGGAGCCTTGCTGTACCATCTCTGAAAACAATTTTTCTATAACAATCGCAAGTCTTAGAATTGAAAACTTGTATTCCGTGTCAATAAAAATAACTTTGGCGCCAAGACCACCAAGAGGATAACCTTTCCACTGAGTAGGCAGGCAAGTCTTTGCGATGTAATGAAGAGCAAGTTCTGATTTCCCACTACCCTCAGGCCCATACAGCTCTACCACTTGACCACAGCAGGTGGATCCATGAGAAGAAAAATTTCCAAAAACAAATGGGTCAACCGGTGTTAAGTCTGGTCGGGTACTCAATCTAGCAAGCAACTGGTGAAAGTAAAAGCAAAAACATGTGACATTAGGTAAAGTAAACAGAGCAAGTATAGCGGTACTTAAGTTTCTTTTGGGATACATCAACAGATTGTGTGGTCAGCTTTCTTAATGGACACAAAAGATAGCATTGAATGGTTCATTAAATATGTTTTAAATTGTGTATGGTTTCATTAAAATAAATCAGGCTATAAAAACTTGATTGTGAGGCTTTTGTCAAATTTTACTAAAGTATTTGATGTTTTCAGTATTTTTGTTAACAAAGAATTTTTTAAATATATATATATATATATATATATATATATATATATATATATATATATTGTAATATATATCTATAGGCCTATATATCACAATATACTTCTATTAAAGCCTTAACAATGAGGCAACTTTTTTACACATTACTACTTTGCTAGCCTCGGCCGATTTTTCACACCTAAAATGAAACATTTCCCATAAATCCTCCCAAAAATGGGAAATAATTAGCCTACTCAAATTTAATGAATCACCTTTTTCACATGGCTAGTCTTAGACGATTTTACGTACCTAAAACAATAGATTAAATTAGGCCTACCGAATCCGATTGTTGATATTTATTGATAAGCAGAGTGGGACAGAAGACGTAAACTATTAAAATAAGGATCACCCTTAGAGGATGGGCAAGACAAGAGCAGTCTTCAAGTTTTCAACAAACTAAAAAAAAAATTTGGCTGGGGGGGGGGGGGGGGGGGTTGGAGATTTAAACCTTGGACTAAAAATCTAGATCTAGATCTTCAACACACTAGTTAATGTATCGTAGTTATCACTAGTAAAACCTGTTTTACTGTTTAACTCTGTTTTACTATGCCCTTTGTATTTATGTAATCTATGAGTATTATGCTATGGCCTGGGGTTAATAATTTTAATTTAACTTCATTTTTTACCTGTGCTCCTGATTCTGCTTTTTTCAGTGCTTTTCGTGAATCGATTGCCATCGAAGAAAACCAAACCATGAATATTGTAGATGTAGAAGTCTAGATCTAGACTACTTAAGACAAGTTAAAACTTAGAGTCTAGATCTAGATCTAGATAGTAGATTAGAATTTATTTATAAGTTCGACAACAAATTGAAAATTTGCAGTTTTATGCTAGGGTTTAGATTTTTTAAATTTTGCGTCCTTTCGTTTTCTCGATCAGCGGAAGTAGGAAATGTGAAAAGAAAACCTAAAAGAGGGATCATCCGGTTCGTTCCAAAAAGTACCTGTGAGAGTGTGTAGTATTAGGCCTAGCATTCAACGCACCAAAAGAGAAAGGAAGTTAAGGTAGACCACTGCGTTTAACCAATTATCTAAATGAATGAAAATCAAAATAATCTAGACCCTAACTCAAGAATAGATCTTGATTATATTTTTAATTGTTTGTTCATAAATAGAACTAGGCATAGACTAGAATACTGTAGAATACTATTACTAAGAATACTAGATTCTAGATCTAGATCTAGATCTAGATCAGTAGATCTAAATCAAATCTAGATCTAGATATCTAGATCAGACTAGATCTAGATGTATTTATTTTTCATAACTATTTTATTTTTAAATCTACTTTAAATCTAGATCTAACTAAGCCTACTACTAGATTCTAGTCACTAGTGATCTACTTAACTACTAGACTCAGTAGAGTAAAGTTCCACGCGCGGTTAAAACACCGGTGCGGCCATCGCCTGTTTATCGCTTCGTACAATATTTGTTTTGATGTTTTATACAAAACTACCGATATCTGCTGTAAACCTGTCCATTTCTAAATATATCCAGGTCAAATTCTTTTGTTTTTCTCCTTCTGGAAGTCGAGTTTTTAAAGTTTCGAGGTATGACGTCGTAGGCGATTCTAGTTCCCCGTATGAAAAACACTAGGTCCCGGATGAGATGAATAAACCAACCAATCAAAGCTTTTTATAACTAGGTTAACTATAAATAGCTTCTACAATATGTGCGGGACACTGTACATACGATAGATAAGGCTAATAAAGCAACCTGATAGGTGAATAGGGGTGGCCGCAGCTTGGGTGTCGATTTGGGTGGTTTCACCTCGCCGCGTAACCAATGACTTGAGCTAGACTAGCCTAGTTCTAGATGCTCTACATTTCAAGCTAAGCCTAGAATCTGTATAATTTCTATTTTTTTCTGCTGTTTTAAATTATTTCGATCATCTACTTCTTCTAAATCTAGTTTGTGTCTCTACATACAAGCATATCTAAGCAAATGTTACGTTATGTCTTGTCAGTGGTTGTTACGTCCCTTTGTTATGATTATTATAGTTGCGTCCCTTGAGTCATCACTGGGTCAACTTTTAATGTCGTTAATTAATTTTATTAACATGTTTTTAATTTGGTTTTGAAATCTATTAATTAATAATACAATCAACAACACGTTTAAAAGTGTAAAATATTTATTTTATTTATTAAACTAGGATTAAAACGTATAAAACGCGATCGTTACGCAAGCCGGTTCAGATGGCCGCAGGGAAAAAAAAGAGGGGAAAAAAATATCGCAAGTAGCACGTCACTAAAACATGAATATCTCAAATTCAATGCGTAGGAATATAAAATGATTGATACATATTAAGAGTAGAAAGGCAGAGGAATAATATAGTACTTTGGGTTTGTTTCTGTGTTAAACGGTTACAAAATAGCGCCCGATGAAAGTCGGGAGTTCGCTATGTGTGACCGGTTGTGGAACTTCACTCTAGAGATCTAGAATCTAGATCTACTACTTTTTTATTTTTATCCAGATTCTAGACTAGACTAAACAAAGTGGAGCTTTGTAAGTTATCAGTTTATCAGATTGGATTGTGCCTTGTTGATGACGAGTTTTTCCTCTTATTTTAACAATCTTTCAACCCCTAGCCTCCATTCATCCATATCCATAGGTCTAATCTGAAGTTATTAATATTTTAATTGTTATGTTATGTAGGCCTATACTATGTAATTCTACTATTTAGTTTAGCAGAGTTTAGCTAGGTAGATATGATATGATATGAATGTTTCATGACTCATTCATATAGGCCTATTTTTATATCATTCTAAATATTATAGACCTATTTCATACTCTCATACTCATTGTCTCGTCTGATTTACGTTAAAAAATTACATAGCCCCTAACTAATAGATGATAATTAATAATAGAGGCCTATTAAATTAAATAGGTCCTGTTTGAGTACTAACACTAAAGTTCATAAGCGTATAAATTATTTTAGGAATATTACTAAAACAATAATTTAAAAATTTAAGTGACAGAATTGTAGTTTGATTTTAGTCTATTTTGTCTGATGAATCATTATCAAGCTTCCTATCATTCAGCAGGGGATTGTTTGCTTGTGTGATCAGATGAATGCATGATGTCTCGAGCACCACCACAACAGCAGCAGGCATTGCGTCGAGCAAGAAAGAGACCTGCAACTCCAGTTTATGCTGGACAAGAAGGAACATACAAGAACATCAACAGTGACTTTATTTGGTGTGTTTGCAGCAGATTTATGAAGAACTTTGTTGGACATTTATATATTGCCTTTTCTATTGCTAATTAAAGTTACCTTTTATACTTGATAGCATATAGAGGTATTGTGATTAGTTCTATGAACAACTGCCTTAACAGTTATCTGCCCCATTTGAATACAAATTGTTCCTACAGACTTATTAATATTAGAACTTCTTTTAATTCTCTTAGTTAAAAAACAATAATACATTAGTAACATAGTAGTAAATTGAAAAAAGTTTTCAAAATTAAGGCCTGTAGTTATTTTGTAAGATTTAAAAGAAATAGTTTTTATTTTCAGCCCAATATGTTTTGACCTCATTGATGAAGCATACATGACAAAATGTGGACATTCATTTTGGTAAGTCTCCACTGTTGTCAGTCAAGTTGTTGAAGCTTAGATGGATCCATATTGTGGAACTCTTTGTTAAAGATGTTTACTATCATGCACTCCCTTGATTTCCACAGCCATGAATGTATAGAGAGGAGTGTGGAGAGGAACAACAGGTGTCCTAAGTGTGGAGTGCCTATAGAAAGTCCTGGCCATATATTTCCTAACTACACCTGTAAGTTTTGGGTTTTTATTTTTATGCTAGTCAATGGCTGCAAAGTGTGAGCGACTAAACTTTTTTTTAAATATACACTCTGAAGTATTATTTTTAAAATCATTCTTTGATTTTTACAGCATGAAAATGTGTTAGATTTGAAATATCCCAACATCTTAAATATAATCTATTTGGGTTTATAAAAAAAAGATACTAAAATATTTATTAATATAAAGTAATGAAAAAGATAGTTGTTGTTTGCTATGTTTTTTTGTCTACAAGAATTTATTATCATTACACTTCTACTTTTCATTCCGTATTTTTATTTTGCATCTTTCTCTCATCTTCAAGATTTTATAATCAGTATGGCCTACATACATTTATTCTTTTATGTTTTTAAATTTTGCATCAATTTCTGCAGTGATGGACTTGATAAGAAAACACAAAGCCGACGAACAAAACAACACCCTATCCAAACAGTTGACCTTACAGGACTGGCAGTGCCTGTCGCAGGACTGGGACCTAGGGGAGATCAACAATGTCATGTCACTCCTCTTCCTCAGGAAGCAGCGGCTAGAGCAAGGCTTGAAAGTTGCAGAGACAAGGATATTAAAGAACTTCCTGGAGGAGGTGCGGGATCGCAAAGAGAAGGTATGTTTGTGTACAGGATTGGTCTGTTTGTGTGCTGGATAGGTCTGTTTGTGTACAGGATTGGTCTGTTTGTGTACTGGATAGGTCTGTTTGTGTACAGGATTGGTCTGTTTGTGTACTGGATTGGTCTGTTTGTGTACAGGATTGGTCTGTTTGTATACTGGTTTGGTCTGTTTGTGTACTGGTTTGGTCTGTTTGTGTACTGGATTGGTCTGTTTGTGTACTGGATTGGTCTGTGCACTGGATTGGTCTGTTTGTGTACTGGATAGGTCTGTTTGTGTACTGGATTGGTCTGTTTGTGTACTGGATTGGTCTGTTTGTGTACTGGATTGGTCTGTTTGTCTGCTAGGTATGTTGATTTGTGTACTAGGTATGGATCAGTTTGTGTACTAAATATTTATGTTTGTGTACAAGATAATTCTGTTTGTGTTATAAGGAAATCCTGTTTGTGTTCTATATAATTTTTGTTTGTATTACCAGATAATTCAGTTTGTGTACTAGATAGGTCTGTTTGTGTCCCAGATCTAGCAATTGGTTATAGTTTTATCAGTTTGTTTTCTATTGTAAAAACCTGTGTGTGAAGACTTTACTGTTAAAGTTAAACCATTGCTTGAGATAATAATATTATTTTTTACTTTTTAGGAACATGTACCATTAAAGAAATCCCCTTGCTTGGGTTAATAATCTGTATTTTATCTTCATTAGAAACTTGTACCATAAAAGTGAATCCCCCTGTTTGGGCTAATTTTCTTATATTTTCCTTAGGAACTTGAAAAAGTCAAGCGTCAGTTGGAATTTTTAAATCAGGACTGCCTGTCTGTTGGGGTGAGATCCCTTTCTTTGCTCACTGTCAGCTTATGAACTACTGAAATAAATATATTTTAAAACTACTCAGAAATTTTAAACGGTAAATTAATATACATTTCAGGAGACTCTTCGAGATTTTGAACAGAAACAGCTTGGGTGCCCAGTAAGTATCACCAGCTGTCATTATACAATTTTGAAAGAAATTTTTTCTATAATAATAGGAAGTAAAGCTCTAAAAACATCTAAGCCATGTATCTATTATGCAGAAAAAAAAAATTTTTTAAATTGAAAATTCTATCACTATTGTAATATAGCGGCTGGAAAATATACTGAGCACACAATCATTTTGTTTGTGGAGGTAACTGATAATAAAGTGTAGCTTTTTGTTTACTTTGTTCAATGTGTTTACAACTCTTATCCTAGGATCACCTGGTGCCCAACAGTTTATCCTTGACATCAATCGCTGGTAGCAGTACAAGCAGCAGTACTGCTGAAACATCTACCTCAGACAGAATAGTAACCGCCGCCACAAATTCCAGTATACCAGAATCATTTGCAGGGGGGCCTACGGTACATGTGGCTTTAGTGTATATATTATTGTTACAGTAAAATTATTTACAGGTAATTCAGTGATCCTGAGTTCAGTACTTGTCAGTCTGGTAAAATAAGTTTGCAATGTACTGGCCACAGTCCAATCACATCCAGTGAACACAAATGCTCAACTTTCTTTCTCATGAAACTTAAAATCTGAAAGGGTTCTCTACTGGTGTATTAATTTTAATCATCCAATCATCTGCTATTCAAGTTAATATATAAAAAATAATCATTAGCAATATGATAATCGGTGGGACGCTGTGGTTGAATGATAGAGCATTTGGCTGCAAGCCAGAGGGTCTTAAGTTCAGATTTGGGTTCAGACTAGTGACTGTTGGAAGACCCTGAGTCCCTGGGTGGACTCTGATGGGTACCTGACTTACGTTGAAAAAGTATTTAAAAAGTCAGCTGGGCATAGTGCTGACAACACCACCCCTTCATATGTCGAGGTCAAGAAATATATGAACACTACTTCATCTGCCCATTGGATCGCTAGGTCTAAAGAGGAACTTTGCTTATAACAACCATCAGATGATCAAATATTTTAACTCTAGTTTTGTTTTTTCTAGGCACGCCCGACTGTTGAAATGTCAGAGGCAAGAAAGAAAAGAAAAGTCAGCCAACACTTTGAAGACCTGGAGAAAGTCTATTTAGAAACCAGGGGAGGTCTTGGATTAGGTAAACTTTAATCAACTAGTGTCGTAGCAGTTCACCATTTGACTACATAAAACCTAATTACATGAAGTTAAAAAAAATGTATTACCTCAGTATAAATAACAATTATTGTCTTTTCAAAAAAAATATACAGCATTATTTTTAAAAAATGTTTTTTTTTTACCTACTTCAAAAAAACAGTTTTTACTGTCCCTTTACATAGGCTGTTTAAAAACCTTTTTTTTTTGCCTTTCAAAATAAATAATATGCTGACCTCATGAAAGTATACAGACTAATACCTCTCATAAACAGGTGTGCTTTAAATGGGTAAAATATATTCCAGAAGTGTTTTCTTCGAAGTAAATGTTAAAACCCCCTCCTGTCCTTACAGGTGGTGAGAGCGATGGAAGCCTGGATGAGTTTGCCACCTGCCTGTCAAAGTTCTCCCAGTACACGTCCATCAGAGCTGTGGCGAGCCTGAACTACACACATGAAGTCTTTACAAACAGTTCCTCTATTGTCTCAAGGTACATAGTTCTTTACTTTAGCCTGAACTACACACATGAAGTCTTTACAAACAGTTCCTCTATTGTCTCAAGGTAAAATTTAGTTCTTTACTTTAACCTGAACTACACACATGAAGTCTTTACAAACAGTTCCTCTATTGTCTCAAGGTAAAATTTAGTTCTTTACTTTAACCTGAACTACACACATGAAGTCTTTACAAACAGTTCCTCTATTGTCTCAAGGTAAAATTTAGTTCTTTACTTTAACCTGAACTACACACATGAAGTCTTTACAAACAGTTCCTCTATTGTCTCAAGGTAAAATTTAGTTCTTTACTTTAACCTGAACTACACACATGAAGTCTTTACAAACAGTTCCTCTATTGTCTCAAGGTAAAATTTAGTTCTTTACTTTAACCTGAACTACACACAAAAGGTATTTTGAGTTTTTAGATTCTTTTAAAGATGCTTGCAGATATTAAGTTTCAGGTGGGTTTTTTTTCTGATGTTTTGCCACAATCTTAGAATTAGGATTAGGTTCAGGACTAACATTTAGTTTTGTTAGGGAAGGAATAACTATTGATATAACAATTAGCCTTGAAGATATCCTTATGGTTAAAAAAAAAAGAAAGAAGTTTTAATGAACAGCATAGAGTTTGATAGAGACTGAGTTATTTGCCATTCCTGGGGTTTGTTTTAATGTATTGCTTATGTTGTCTACAGCATAGAGTTTGATAGAGACTGTGATTTATTTGCCATTGCTGGGGTTTGTTTTAATGTATTGCTTATGTTGTCTACAGCATAGATTCTGATAGAGACTGAGTTATTTGCCATTCCTGGGGTTTGTTTTAATGTATTGCTTATGTTGTCTACAGCATAGAGTTTGATAGAGACTGTGACTTCTTTGCCATTGCTGGGGTTTGTTTTAATGTATTGCTTATGTTGTCTACAGCATAGAGTTTGATAGAGACTGCGAGTTCTTTGCCATTCCTGGGGTTTGTTTTAATGTATTGCTTATGTTGTCTACAGCATAGAGTTTGATAGAGACTGCGAGTTCTTTGCCATTCCTGAGGTTTGTTTTAATGTATTGCTTATGTTGTCTACAGCATAGAGTTTGATAGAGACTGTGATTTATTTGCCATTGCTGGGGTTTGTTTTAATGTATTGCTTATGTTGTCTACAGCATAGAGTTTGATAGAGACTGAGTTATTTGCCATTGCTGGGGTTTGTTTTAATGTATTGCTTATGTTGTCTACAGCATAAAGTTTGATAGAGACTGTGATTTATTTGCCATTGCTGGGGTTTGTTTTAATGTATTGCTTATGTTGTCTACAGCATAGAGTTTGATAGAGACTGTGAGTTTTTTGCCATTCCTGGGGTTTGTTTTAATGTGTTGCTTATGTTGTCTACAGCATAGAGTTTGATAGAGACTGTGAGTTTTTTGCCATTCCTGGGGTTTGTTTTAATGTGTTGCTTATGTTGTCTACAGCATAGAGTTTGATAGAGACTGCGAGTTCTTTGCCATTCCTGAGGTTTGTTTTAATGTATTGCTTATGTTGTCTACAGCATAGAGTTTGATAGAGACTGCGAGTTTTTTGCCATTCCTGAGGTTTGTTTTAATGTATTGCTTATGTTGTCTACAGCACAGAGTTTGATAGAGACTGAGTTATTTGCCATTCCTGGGGTTTGTTTTAATGTATTGGTTATGTTGTCTACAGCCTAGAGTTTGATAGAGACTGAGTTATTTGCCATTCCTGGGGTTTGTTTTAATGTATTGCTTATGTTGTCTACAGCACAGAGTTTGATAGAGACTGAGTTATTTGCCATTCCTGGGGTTTGTTTTAATGTATTGCTTATGTTGTCTACAGCATAGAGTTTGATAGAGACTGCGAGTTCTTTGCCATTGCTGGGGTGACCAAGAAAATTAAAGTCTTTGAGTATGGTATTGTGAGAGATGCTGTAGTTGACCTGCATTACCCTGTCACAGAGATGAGCTGTACTTCAAAGATCAGGTACGTCATTTTATGAGGGAGGGTGATGTAAATCTCTAGTTTTTGTCATGGTGGGTTAGGTAAATCATTCCTTTGCTGTGGCAGGTCAGGTCAATCATTAGTCTTTGCTGTGGTAAGTCAGGTAAGTTAAAAGATCATTTATTGTGGGTCAGGAAAATTAAACTACTCTCTTGTATGTTACCTTTTTTTAGATAAATAACCCCTGTAAGGCTAATTTTTCACAATAGTCCAAATAATATTTACCAGAACGATTCTCTATATCTACATTACATGCAACTCTAACTTTTTTTTTTAATTTAGTATTGACAGTCATATTTTGAACAATTTTTTTTCTAAATTAGTTGTATTGCATGGAATCCCTATAAGAAGCACATGCTAAGCAGCGCAGACTATGATGGGATAGTGTACATGTGGGACACCAGCACCAACCAGAGAACACAGATGTTTCAGGTTTGTAAGGGAACTTTTTCCCTCTTTCTTTCCTTAGGAATGTGGAGAACACACCATTTTATCTTAGAGTTTCTTGGGGATATGGGAAATACTTTTATAGTTTATTAAACTGTTGTGTTTGTTTCTTTCTTATAAGTTACTGTCTTGGTAAACTAGGAACATTCACTTTGTTTCTCTCTGATAAATTTGTCTGTATCTTTTTAAACTAGGAACATTCACTTTGTTTCTCTCTGATCAGCTGGTCTATAAGTTAGTAATCAAGGAATATTTACTGGGTAACTCTCATAAGTTTGTATCTTGGTAACCTAAAAACATTCAGTTTTTTTTCTCTTTGATAAGTTTGCCTGTATCTTTCTAAACCAGGAACATGAAAAGCGCTGCTGGAGTGTTGACTTCAACCGTATGGACCCAAAGATGCTAGCCTCAGGCTCGGATGACACCAAAGGTACCAACTGTTTGTGTTATTGGGGAAAAAAAGCAACTACTGCTTGAAATTGGACATTTATTTACTGAAAATTCATGCGAAATTACATGAAAAACAAATTTAGAAATAATTTTAAAATAATTCATTATATGTGTATATTTTAAAATTATTCTTTTGCTGAACATAGATGCATTTTAACAATAACAATTTAATTTTGAAAAATTAGTTATTAAATTTTCTACCATCATCCTATTTTATAATCAAAAATGTACATTAAAACTACTGGACAGACCTTAAACTCTGTTTGTGTAAAGTATCAAAACTTAAAATATGTGGCTTTATTATGTGCTGTCACTGTGCTCATTTACATCAAGAGTTGTTTCTTCTAGAATTTTAACTATCTAAAAACAAACCTACAAAAACAGATGTCCAAGGTTAGTTTTTATTTTGCTTGGAGTTTTCCATTTTTTATCTAAAAGTTTTCCTCTTTGTTTTCAGTGAAACTCTGGGACTGGGACAGATCTCAGTCAGTAATGACAATTGAAGGTGGTGCAAATGTTTGCTGCGTAAAATTCAACCCCACAACACGCTACAACCTAGCTTTTGGCTCTGCAGGTACAGCCTTCCATCTAGATTTTGACTTCTGCTAGTGTAGATTTTTTATTTTGTGAAAATATTATATCAGCTTAATATATTCCTGTTTCTTTGTTGTGTTCCAGATCACTGTGTACACTACTATGACCTCAGGCACCCAAAGAAAGCTGTCAATGTGTTCCGAGGTCACGGCAAAGCTGTCTCATACGTCAAGTTTCTAAATGGAAATGATATGGTTTCTGCGTAAGTTTTTTACTTTATGTATTATCTGTTGATATTTATGTGCACACATAAACTTACACAACTGGTTAATATAAAAGGGCACATCTGTAATTTTAAAATATACACAAGTGGTGATACAAATGTACATCTTTTTATATAAAAATGTACATCTCTCTTGATATAGAAGTGTACACTTCTGTTGAAATAAAAAAAATGTACACACCTGTTATTATAAAAATGTTCACACTGTGTTATAAAAGTGTACAAATCTGTTGTAAAATGCACACACTGGTTTATGTTTTTCCAGGTCAACCGACAGTCAGCTCAAGTTATGGAACTTGAATCGACACAACGCTATAGCCACTTTTAAAGGCCACATCAATGAGAAAAACTTTGTTGGGCTGGCCACAGATGGGGACTACATCGCATGTGGTATTGTACCTTTTACTCATGTTGCATGTTTAATAAACTTTTTTAAGATGTTTTTTATGCTCTTCATGTATACAACAATTAAAATGCTATTATAATTTCTTAAAGTTTTAGTTTTAATCCTGTTCTTGTTAACTTGTACTGTCATGTTTTATGTTTAAAAGTTAACACCTCTTTTGCAAAAACTATAAGTTAATATTATTTAGATCAATAGCATTTTGATGTGCAACCTGTTTCCTCATAAGCCATAACATTAGATGGGCACTACTTCTTTTTCCTTTTGAACTTGTAAATATTTCCTGGTTCGAAAAAAGACTGTATCTGTAACTTTATCTTAACAGGTAGTGAAAACAACTCGTTGTACTTGTACTATAAAGGTTTGTCTCGCCACATCCTTACATACAAGTTTGAACCTGCCAGAAAACTTATTGTGAGTAGCTCCCTCCAACATGGTTATGTTGACTCCTTTAGTTTGTCTTAGCTTATACAATTTTTATTGTGTTTTATAACAACAAATGAGCTATGATTTATCAATTAATTCAGAGATATGTTGTGTGGTTGGATAAGTTTTGAAAATAATCTTGTGTTCAAATACAGGAAAAACCTGGCAAGGAAGATGACTCAGCAGAATTTGTCAGTGCTGTCACATGGAAAGCTGTAAGTTATTTTTTTTTCTCTGGAACTTTTCTGACCAATTTTAATTTTGTTGCACTGAATGTATGAGCTGTAAACTTAAATGTGGTATCTACTTCAAAATATCTTTTTTGCTTCAATTATTGTTTTCCTCTAACTCAATCTTTCTTAAGTTGGGTTTGAATTTAAATTTATGAACAAAATATTTTACTGACTGGACATAATTAATTTGTGGGTGTGTTCTTTCAACAGGATTCTAACATACTTGTTGCAGCAAACAGCCAGGGTCTTGTCAAGGTAAGTTTTCCTAGTGTATTTTTAATGGTGCTTCTGTCATTTCTGTTGTTTCTAAATCAGATTGATAGGCTATTAACTGTATTAAACAATACATTACTGAATAGCCAGACAAATGCACACAAATTGGCATTTGAAAGATGACAGTATGACAAGGCAAGTTCTAAGGGTTTGCTGATTTAGCTGTCACATTAAACTTTTAGAAGGTTGTATTATCAATGTATACAATATTACTATTATGTACACTAGATTTTAGGATGCCGGCAAGGTGACCCCTGACCTAGGTCAGTGACCTCTGGACTCTTCCTCTAATGATACAAATTTTTCAATTACCTCACAATGGTTATTGATTACTTCGATATTATTGGCAATTTGGTGGAAGTGGAGTTGAGAGAAACGTGGTACTTATTCTAACGGCTATCAAGACCATAGCACTGAAATTGTTTTGAAGTGGTTTCCAAAATAGGTGGAAAAAATGGCTTATGTATTTAATGTTTGTTTCTTGTTTAAAGAATTTGTTTCCTAATGTTAAAAAAATATTTTGTAGCTTTGAGTCATGATTTAGAAAAAAAAATTTTGGCACAATTTCAGTTGCTGGAGTTGGTTTAAGGACATGTAAGAACAGGGAGCTGCCACCAGTTGTCCTCAGTTCTACCTTACAGTCTTTCATTTCTTGTCCTCTGGAAGTGACTCTCTATGGAGACGAACACATGTGGTGTGGGATTGGCCAGTTACTGAGAACAGTTTGACTAAAAACGAATTTGTGATTAGGGCCTAGAAGGTTGTGTTAGTTTTTTAAAAACTATTCTCAAAATAATTGACTAATTATTTAAAAGAAAACATAATTTAGAAATCAAAATTGAAAGTATGATTAATTATGAAAATCAAGAAACTTTTACATATCACTGAATAAGTTATAGATAGTGCATTAGATGGACTCATTCTATTTGACCAGGTACTTTTAGTGTTGTTAAAATTGATGAGGCAAAAATGTTGTTTTATTCTGAGTTGTGTATGTTGGGTTACTGGTATCTTGAGACTGAGATCAGCTGTAGAACATCCCTTCTAAAATCCAATGCAAAGATTACCTATCAGACCTCATTATATCTATATTTGAATAAGTAAAGTATATTTACCTCAACTAATTTTAAATCCATTTGTATCCTATTTCTGTCAATTGCTTTTTTCTAATGTGGCAGTCTTTTTAAGCAGCTTACTGCCATTTCTAGTGGGACATAGAGGACACAAGTTGAACTGTGATGAATGAGTGCCTATGGTTGTTAAAATTTCATGTATACTTAGGTGTTTGTCATATAAAAATTTCTTCATGTTCATGATAGTATTTGTTTTGTCAAACTGATCGGCAGCTGTCGTTTTTAACATAAGATTGTTGGTCAGATTTTAAACAGCATTAGTTTAAAAGAAATTGACCAATGGTAGAAAAATATAGTACGAAAATAAAAATATATTGTTTTATCTAGAATATTTTACTTTTTAAAGTGTTATACAAAATTTGGGACAAATAAATGTACTAAATGATATTCTTTATACTTTTTTTCTGAACTGTAGTTGGAAAGATATTCTATTATTTTTCCAAAACTACCTTTGCTCTGTTACTGTTAGTTGATCTGACATTATTTTCTGGTGGGAAAGACTAGGGCATTACACCTGCAGACATTTTGTTTGCCTATTTGAAAGCTTCCAACCTTCCATCTCTCTGTCTTCAAGTCCCAAGTTGCTGTCCTTGCTAATTTGTACAGTAGTTTATCTCACTGAGATCTATGTTGTATGACTTTAAATATGATTCTCTTCCTTTGAATTTTACCAGTTCTTTTTATTTTTAGTAAAACTATTCTTTGACCTCCAGGTGTGAGGCATACAAATAATTTTTTTTATTCCACATGATTTTTTTTCTTGTTCGTCTTTGGTTTATATAATTGTGCCCCTTGCCTTAGCAGTTAACTGCCACAAAAAAATAGATCTCTTCTGCTGCTGATGTGATTCCAGTTGAATGCGAGTTTTGTTTCATCTTATCAATCGTTTTAACTTTTTAAGGTTCCACTGATAGGGAACATGTGTTGTTTGGGGAAACAACACAAAAAGCCCATTTATATTTTTTTTAGTTTTAGGTTATTCTTTTTAAATTATCTAACTTTTGTAAGATTAAAATTATATCTGATTTGTAATGTATGTACATAAATACTGAAAATTTATAAAACGTAATCAAAGTTATTTTTTTTATTCAAGAGCCAGTTTGTTTGTAAGACTCAACCCTTACTGCAGTAGTGACATGACATTAACATGGATTAACTCAACTGTTGATGTTTAGTTAATGATTTCTTTTTTGTCTTGTGGGAAACACTGAAAAACAATTTGACATACGCAAGTCAAAACAGTTCATAATCCATTATTATTTGTATTAAAATGGCATGTTTGATCTTATTTTTTCACTGGTTCACACTTGTTAGACTTATTATTCTCAAGTATGATCATGTAGTTATATATGATGAAATTTTGAAATCATGTCTGAAATATTGGTGTAGTGTTAAAGTGTATATTTGGCTGCATATCAGAATATGTATAACAGATGAAATGTGGGGAGGCAATGGACCAATACTCCTCAACTGTTTTTTATTTATTGAGAAAATAAAATTGCTACAGCTGTTTGTTGTGTTGTTGTTTTTACTTTCTCGTATATACGAAGTATAGAGAAAGTATTGTAATCGTGCAAAAAAAAAATCAAGATTTTTACAAATCTTGACGTTTTACACCTCACTGATACGGAAAAACATAATTTTGCAATCTTGTCAGTATGTCTGTGTGTGTGTGTGTGTCTGTCTGTGTGTATACACGATTACTTGAGTACCGTTACAGCTAGGTTGATGAAATTTCATATATAGGTATTTTATCAAAATCGTAGATCCGTATCAACTTTTGAGCAATTTCCGACAACCGGAAGTGGTACTTTTTCTACTTTGAATTTTTCAAAAGCCTATAACTTGAGTACTATTTCAGATAGATAAATGAAATTTCAAATGTAAGTAAAAGATCTAATTCTCTACCTTCTATCAAATTTTGAGTAATTTCCGTTGACCGGAAGTACTAATTTACACTAGTTCCGATTTCTCAAAAAACGCATGTAAATTTATAAAGAACTAATAATATTGCGCACTATTATGCGCTTTTTGATTTGGCGTTCCCTTGGTGCGCAATTCTTTTTTCTACTAGATTTTATTCTATTTTTAAAAGTTTAAGTAAACAAAAATCATGTCTATATTCCGAGTTGCCATCCCACGTAGTGTTATATTAGAATATTCGAGAAAGTTTAGGGGAGATCACTCCCGGTTTATTTTAATAATATATTTGTAATATTCAGATAGAAGTAAATATGAGTTTTAGTCTGGTAGTGGTTTGCACAAGACTGGTTCATATTATCCCTAGCATACCAACTATTTCTGTTGTTAGGTCCTTATGTTTACATTGCAATCTGTTATAGCATTCATAATATTTATATCTAATATGGACTGTGCACTCTCTATAATCTGTGTGTATTATGTAAGTGCACTTGCTATAATTCTAGTTTTAACACTGGATTTGCTTTTAAGCAATGATTCTAGTCTTTAGAATAGATTTAAACAAATATGTAATTATTTGCCACTTGCTCACAGTGGGTTTTAACCTAATTAAGCCTCATGAAATAGTTCTTTATGTTAGACAATTATATTCTCTGAAATTAAAAAAAAAGACTGAAATTGAGTACACTACTACCTCCACAATTTTAATCCATACTACAACTGAGCTCATGTGAAAAACAAAAAAGTAAATTTTAGACTATTTTTCTAATATAAAATAAAGGAACAAGCCTGAATGCGTTCCATAACTGTAAGCAGATTTATATGCATGAACTCCATGGTAAATTTTAATGACACAATAATTTTACTAATCCACATTTCCATGGAGTAGATGATGAATGCAAGAAACAGTAGGCAGATTGTGGGGAGGGGGGAGAACAAAAAGCATTTGGATGCTGAATTGATCATCTGAAATATACTGTAAAGTTTGAAACATTTTATTAGAACCATTTTCTTTTTTACAATTTATGTTCATGCTAGTATGTTGTGTTTCTATATCTAGATAGAACAAATTTTCCATTAATTGTTTGCTAGAAGCACATTTTGTTCCATGACATTGTTTTACACATATGTAGAGATCTTTTTACTAGAAATTGTTTAATGCTAAATTTTGTACATAAACAAAGCAAACAAGAATCAGTGATTAAAAAATATGAAAGTTTTATGGCAGTTTTAAATACAAATTCCAACCAATTATATACATGAACAGTCTGTAGTGATCAAAATTCAGTAGCACTGAATATTTACAAACATTTACAGGAAACTAACAACACCTATCATCAAGATGAGGACTTCTGTCTCTTCCAGAACTTTTTTACATCATCATGGCCTGATTTTGTTACAATTAGAACTCTTTTCTCAGGCATCTCCCACACCATGACTCCAATTTCCTGCAAACAGGGCATTAAGTTACTATACTTGTATCCAGCAAGTTTTATTAACAATGTCTTTTTTTTAACTATTAAACTCACACAAGTTTAGTATTACATTATAGAATTTAGTGTGACCAACAAGTAACAAATATTCTTAACTTAAAAATTATCAAAAACAGACCAAAAAAAAGTTTTTTGATAAATACATTTTAGTGTAGATATAATTTCATTATAACCTACCTTTGCATAATTTCTCAGAAGCTCAAAATCTGCTTGTGAAAGGAACTGGTTGTACATTACACCATCATTGAATTTGAACCTGTCCCTCTCTAGCTCCCAAAGTTTAATTTGATCAGTAATGGTTGGCGGAATCACAGGGGTCTAAAAAGTTCAAACAAAATTTGTAATTAAATTAAACATACAGCTCAGACAGTAAATCAAAAAAAAAAACACAGTACAGTTTTTTTACACCATGCAGAACACATTAAATGATTTCAGGTACACACATGGCTCATACAAAAAATAAACACAAACAGTTCTCTCCACAACCTCCAACCCCAATGGCAAGTCGAATATAAAGGTTAGTAAAATACATAGCTATTAAGAGAACAAAAATCTATTAACCTTTTTCAACATTTCTGGATGTGCATGACTTTGCAGAAAATGAAGAATCTGAGGATGAAAACAGATATTTTCCTTAACATTGGTAAGTTAACATAGTATTAGTATGTCTGTTAAATAAATTACATAGATAATGAATACATTAAAATTTTGACTTTCCAACATAATTTTTACAGCATTCAAATAAATTTTCACCTGTTCTGCAGTGATTCCTCTGGAGAGAGCTTCCCTAACACTAGATCTAGACAAATTGGCAGCAACCATATTTGGAAACCTGTTTCAACAACAGTAGAACATATTACATACAACCTCTCTATTCATTTAAGTTTCAAAACAAACAAGCAGGCAGAACTGTCTTCAACAGCACTTGTCCAAATGTTTTATATTGTGTGTGGTGTAGGAGGTAAGCATGATAATAAAAAATACAAAGAAGTGCTCACCGGTACAACATTTCACAAAACAATGCCAGCAGCGCCACCTGCAGGGGAGAATCTGTGTATGCATAAACTCTGTAATTAGTTTCCACAACTATAAAACCTGGGCGGTGGGTGTCTATGTTGGTCTTGGACAAACCAGACACAATATTGACAGCAAGTCTAGTAGGGTAATATCGATGTGACTTGCGCTGAGACATAAAAAAAGTTATTTAAAATTTTTTTTTAAATTGTAAGTTTTTAATCTCATCAACAGTAAGTTGTGTATATTATAGTCATGGCATTTATCTTTTGTAGTACATAACTATTGTCAACATATTTTATTAGCAGCTGTACTAACAGAAAAATTTGTATCCTTACTTTTCTCTGGTAAACCAGACCAAACTCTCTGAGATGCTGAAGGAACCGCAGCTGATTTTCACTCATCCCTTCAGCACTGTAGTCCTACAGAAAACAAGGGGCATCAACCATTAAGTTGATCCATTAAAAAAACTAAGTAATAACTATTGCAGAATTTTTTTTTATCATTGAGATCTACTGTACCTTGCCAAGAGTTGAAAAACTAAGCTGGAATAGAAATGACAAGCACTCGACAAGATCCATACCACGGGACTGAAATAAAAAATTTTAATGACCGTAAAAATACACTGGATAAACAGGAAAGCAATAAACAGAATCAGCTAGAGATTGGATACGTAGTATATATAGATGCATTACATCAGTAAAACAATGAGTGGTTTGTCCTATAGACTTTGAGCACTTAAGAAGAGGGTGGAATACCCATTAGAATTGAGATAGTAAAGAAGGAATTTGTGTAGTCTTCAAATAGTAAAATAGAAAGTAGAATGACTATGAGTCTTCATCTTTCTCTCCTACCTGCACAGTGTCCAGATACTGCAACAAAAAGAACCAAACTTGTGAAGATGTATCCATCAACAAAAACTGAAAGCCCTCAGCAGTGATTGAAGGTTCACCTTCATCCCTAAAAATTGCACCAAAGCCTATTAACAAGTTTCAACCAAATGTGACTTCATCATAAAAACCTATTAATTTATTTTATTAAGCTTCATATTTTAAAACTTAAATTTCTTTTTAAAGTGTCCTGTATTTAAGATTGTTAGTCCAAATAAAATATTTTAGAAGAAAAACAGAAATATAAAATATCAACTACTTACACTCGCATCAACCCACTATGTAACAAAACATCTGTTATATCTTTATTTACCCCATCTGATCCTTCATTGGAACCAACCATAAAATGCAAGACACACTACATAAAAAAAGAATGTATTGTTAGCAACCTCGGTAAAATGTGTATCAAGTTCATAACAACATGATGCAACTTTATAAAGAGAACAGTTACCTCCCATCTTTCCAAGGCATACTTATCTAAAAAGGGGATGTCCTTGGCATATTTATCAATAGTCAGATCTTTGTTGCCAATCCAAGAGCCACCACTAGATAAAGCAAATTTACAAAAATGTGTTAGTTATAAAATATATAGGCCCTACTTTTGCATTTCAAAACTTGTGGGTTTTTATTTTTTTAAATAATAATTACTAATTAGGCTAGCAAAAGCTGTTAATAATTTACTCCCTTATTTGAAGTCAAAAAATGTAAAATCCATTTACCCTCCTAATAATGCTGTAAGAAGATTGGCTCTAAATACATGATTAAGTATCCATCCTGGCATGTCACCTGGCAAGGGCTGCTCATACCAAACACGCAGTTCCATCAATGCAGCTGCAGCTTCAAACTGTTCTCTAAAATAAGATAAAACTGGCTTATAATTTAATCCTAAACATTAAACAGAAACCTTTGTTCAATAGCAAACAGCTATAAGTAATAATGTGGTTACCCATAAAAGAAGTGATTTTTTAGCCCTCCCCCAACACCCACATTGAAGTATAACCAGCTTTTGTTTCCTTCCCACTAATCACAATTTAACAATAAAAACATAAAACTATGGTAAACAAGGCTGTAATTAATTTGGTACATTGATCGTTGTTACAATCTACAAAATAGTAAAATAAATGCTAAAATTGTCATTTTGTCACCTACACAACTGATGCCCCAATTTTGTGGTTTCAATGTCAATGGTCCTCCCTGTGATACATGTATAGTACAGCTTGTCTCATTATTGTTTATTTTCATTTTGGCAAGATCATTAAGAAGGTCTCTAATTGTTTCAATGTCACCAATATCTCAGTTTAAGCTTCGTTACCAAAAGTTTTAAATGTTTTCATGGCATAGGCCCTATATATAATCTAATTAATGTTTATATTACCTAAAAAATTGCCATTGTTTACATTAAATGATTTTTAAAATAATAGTATGATGATCACTAGAACTAAAAACAATAGTGAAGTGACTACTCGGAAGATTTTTCTCCCCAACGTCTCCACTTAGTCGGCAAAAGATAGCTCTGCGCATGCGCAGTGACCTATGGCTAGGGTTCTGCAGTTGTAAACACACGCATACGCAGTACCATCGAAAACATCGCCGCGATGGCAAGTCGTAGTTTCTCTCCATTGGTATGCGTATTTTATTCCAGCTAGCATCGGCCAAACAATAGTCTGTGCACATGTGCAAGCTGAGTATACTACATTGTGATTACAACAGAGAAGTCCTGGTGGTAAGAATTGCTAATTAGCAGAAATATAGAGCCTACAGATTTATCAATTGGATCAACTTACTCAGCTGGGGCAGTACTCCACTGTTGTACAACTGCTTGAGCCACAGCTTGTTCAACAAAAAGAATTCGCATCACATAGTGACGAGAAAGTTCAGGAATATCCCTGAAATTAATTAAGTTGGCATTCACAGATTAGCTTTTAATAAATAATTTTAATCTATAGAAGTAGGCCTACTGTTAGTGTTAACAAACAGTATAACAAACCAACTTTTTTTTAAAATGTCTGAAGACTGAGTCTGAAGTCTGAAGCAAAAAAAAGGCCAAGACAAGGCAACAATAGCCTAAATAAAGTGATTTAAGTGAACAATTGGTATCCAGCAATGTATATTTACCTGAATACTGCTAAGCATGTTGCAGGGTGACAGTATAAACGATCAAGTACTGTAGGGGGGAGCGTACGCAAGTAGGAATGCAAATCTTTGCAAGATAATCTCTTTAACAGAGGTGCCATGTTGTTTACTACAAACCTGTCCAGTTTTTTTGTGATTATCAATGCCTAGTTATGAATTATTATGTTTTCAGATGCGTTTATCATATGAACATAATTTATAATTATATTACTCTTAATACAAAGAAATATAAATAAACATAAGAAAATTCTATATAAATTTTGAAGTAGGTAAACTTATTATAAATTATTAGTTTATAACATTTTTAGTAAATTTGAATTTAAATTCAAATTTGGCAGTTCCTAAATTGGTAGTATAGTAGCACTCTACAGTTTAATTGCGTTTCTTATTTAGAGCGCGTTAGACTTCAATATTGTGTGCTTTTCTTATGCTTATTACTAGATCTAAATTCTAGAGTCTATATATTTATATGCCGGCAAATTTTAACCATTCGCTAATTTTATAAAGAAAAATATTATTATTATGCCGTAGTAAGTCTGGAACGAAATCAGAAAATTTATAGACTATATTGTAATTATTTTAGCGGGGAAAGACCGTGGAAATGAGTTTACATTCTTCTTTCTATGCGCTAAGATTGGTCTGTATCATGTGACTGATAACGTGACTTTCTTATTTGTTGTTACGTGTCCCAAAAATATTCATTTTCAAAATAGAAACCTGATCTCATCTGTGTTGATCTAAATCGAATGTAGATCTATAGGGAAAGTTGCCAATATTTCTTCCTATAACTTGAAAAACCACTTCAATAACTAGAACTAGAAATATTCAACACAATGGCGTCTGGGAAAGCAAAGTAAATTAATAAAAGATTAAGATCTTAAAATTACGTTTTTTTTTACATTTTAATTTTAATAGATTTTATTTAATTTTATTATTTTAATGTTTGCTTTTTTAACTTAACTAATTTTTAGTAATTATAGTAATTAATTAAAATTATTAAATTATACAATAACTAGATCTATACACTATACAATACTATAGGTCTACATAGTGACTACATACTATTTACTATCTTACTGACTGCTTCTGTCAATTATTTAACCAATTCTGTTGCAGTGATAAAATTCTTAGTTGTTTTTTTTTTTCAGGCCAGCATTCTGCAGAGGAGATCATACCCATGAAATCCCCATGGAACTTTTCAAACAAAATCGTGCTAGACTGTGCGAGAGGTTGAAAGCTACTGGAAAAGTTCCAGAAAAATCATACGTCCTGCTGCAGGGTGGGGTTGCTGACACACGTAATGATTCAGATCATGAGCCTCTCTTTCGTCAAGTAATTTGTTTACTTTTCTGTGACAATATTATGAAGCTTTTTTTTTCTGTATACTTGTATGGGCGTGTGATTTTTTTTACAACCCTTACAATTTTAGCAACTACCAGAAAAAAACATTGCTTTATTGACTTCCAGTGAATATAGAAAACCTTTGGATTTTAGTTTAATCTACATAAAATGCCAATGTTATCTTAAATAAATATATTAAAAAATTTTTATTATTATGCCATTTTCCTCACAAAACTCCCGTTGAGGCTTGTCTGCATAAAAACATTGTTCCTGAGGTCAGAAATTTCTTATTCATCAATAGATTTTTATATATAATTAGCTCTTTTTAAACACAGGAATCATTTTTTCATTGGGCCTTTGGTGTGGAGGAGCCAGACTTTTATGGTGCTATCGAAGTAGATACAGGAAAAGCTATTTTGTTTCCACCTCATTTGCCTGAATCTTATGCAGTTTGGATGGGAAAGTAAGATGTTTACATGATGATGCTAGTAGTAATGTAATAACCTGATAATTTTCTTAATGGTAAAATCTTTGTACTCTGGTTTTAATATTAGTTTAAACTATAACTTATTATTCATCAAAGTAGAGCTCTTGATCATTTCAATGTTTGCATTAATACATAAAATTAATTCACTGATAGTTTCCAATTATAAAAACTAAGGTCTTGATTTAGGTCCCTCTAAAAAATTGTTGATCTATCTTTTTTTAACTAGGCTTTTGACGGAAGATGATTTCAAGCACCTGTACTCAGTTGATGAAGTTCACTTTGCTGACAAGGTATGTATTTACTAAATGATTAAAAATTAATTAAATAAATAATTAATTGATATTCTTAATTGCTTACATCATTAAGTTTAGATATTAATTTAACTTTTGATATTTGAAAATTTTTAATTATAATATACTCCATTTTTATATTTTGTTGATTTTATCAAAATATCTCTTTTAGATTTCAGATGTTTTAAAGAAAAAAGAGCCATCTCGACTGTTAACCCTGGTATGTTTGAATAAAGCTATTTTTAAAGCAGCATTTAAATAAAATTAAAAGTTAATATACTTATTAAGCTAGTTATTGCTAAATCAAAATTGTTAAATAAAAAAATGAAGATGAATAAATGACTATATTAACTGCTTTTTATTAACTGCATAAAGATTGTTTAATGCTTCTGTGTTTAAATTCAACGTTTAAAATATTTTCGAAAATAATTTGAAATAACTACACAATTTTTTTTTTCCAGCATGGTTTAAACACAGACAGTGGCAAGTACAGCAAAGAGGCAGTTTTTGAGGGTATTGCTGAGTAAGTTCTGCAAACTCCGGAATAGAAAATTTAATACTAACATAACCTTGCCCTGTGTGCTTTTTGTTTATTAATTTATGATGTGTAGGCTTATCGTTATTAATATTTAAAAGTTCTATTAGTTTAGCACAACATTTTTGTAAATAAATCTGTTTATGAAAAATCTTTATTTATAATTACTTTCTGATATTTATTTTCATGTATGGATTTTTTAAATTTATACAAACACAACTTGTTTTTTTTTTTTCTTAAAAATTAGATTTACTGTCAACAATGAGATTTTACATCCAGAGATCACTGAATGGTAAAAAAAATTTTAAAGTCTTTAAACATCTTTGATTAAATGTAAATATTCTATATTTTAGCTTTACAATTTTTTTAGCACAAATGAGTTACATCAAAGGCTTTCTTTGCTCTTTTTTTTAAACAGTCGTGTCTTTAAAACTGATTTGGAACTTCAAGCTCTACGCTATGCAAATAAAATCAGTAGTGAAGCCCACATTCAGGTTGGAGAAACTTTTTAAAAAATTTTAAACTAAATATGTTAGCACTCATCTTAAACTTAGCCAGAAAAATATTTCATATCTAACTAAAGTTCAAGTGTTCAGTTTTCTACTTAACCCTGGTATTATATTTATTTCATTAGTATTACTTTTTGTTCCTGTCTGTATAAATTTTTTAAATAAATCAAATTGTGATGTAATGTAAACCTTAATTTCACCCAATATATGTAGGTGATGAAGAATGTCAGACCAGGAATGTACGAGTACCAAGCTGAAAGGTAGGCCACTCTTTATCGTAGGTCAATTAATGTATCACAACCTGTTGCTCATTGACCTGTATAATAACACTGTTATTTAATCACTTCTCTTAACTGCTATCATTAATTTTTTTATATAATGAATGATGGTTTCCTTTGTTTTAGCATGTGCACTATTCTTTGGTCTAATTAATAGGCCCTATAACTGATAGTAAAGTACTTTAAAGATAATTTCTTTTCTTATTATGGTTTTTATATAGAATCATTATTTTTATCTGTAAAACTTGACCTTCAACCCTTGAAGTGAATAACCACATATCCTATTACAACTGTATGACACAATTTAATTAGATTAGTACCATAGTTATTTTAAAATATATTTTAAATAAGAAATGTTTTAATTTATTCAAATGTATTAATAGACAAAATTTACTCTCAGTATATTTCAGCACTACTGTCACTTTACAGGAGGTCTACGCATTCTGTCATACACCTGTATTTGTGGAAGGTTAGTTTCTTACATAACAATCTGTAGGTTGATTGTACTAAAAATCAATCCTTTGATAATTCATTCCCAATGTGCTGCATTTGAATTGTAATAATATAGTCATTTATCTTTTTATATTATTTTAGTGGACACAATGGGTCTATCCTTCACTACGGCCATGCAGGTGCTCCAAACAGTAAACCTATTGAGGATGGAGACATGTGGTTGGTGGATATTTTTACTGTCTTTGATTTACTGTGCCATTTTTATGTTTTCCTAATTTTATTAAAAATTGATTTGTTATGAAACTTGATTTGTATCCTAATTCAAATTAATTTATCATTTTATAAACACAAGTAAATCTAGCTTTAGTTATGGTACTGGCGTGTCTATGGGAAAATATTTGGGATTTAGCTTTTTTTTTTAAATTTCAATGGTGAAATTTTAAAATTAAACCTAAACATCTGTTAGATGTTAAGGATATGCTTGTAAGCTAACATCAAATAACTAGTATAACTATTAGTCATGACTTTTTTCCTCAGTTTGTTTGATATGGGTGGAGAGTATTACTGCTACAGTTCAGACATCACATGTTCATTCCCAGCCAATGGGAAGTTTACACCAGACCAGAAAGCTATCTATGAAGCTGTTCTTGCTTCCAGTCGAGCAGTAATGTCAGCTGCAAAGCCCGGTAGGGGAACAAAGTTTATGTTATGTTCACAGGTTGAATAATATTCTAATCAATTCTTCTGTTACCCGATCAATTATTAAAACTATATTTCACTTTGTGTAATAATTTTTAGTGTATTGTATTAAAAACTAAATTATTATTAATTTTTTTTTTTTCATTTGGCTCCTTTTAAAACTGGAGTATGCGTGATCTCATGATGATGGTTCTATTCTTATTTTGTTTACATTTTATAAAACTTGACAATATTTGTGTCTTGGGTTAATTTAATCAACAGCATGTGACTGTAAATGTGTGTCTATGTATGTCTAAAGGTCATATGAAAAATATGTAACTGTAACTTTATGTCTAAGGTGTGTCTTGGGTTGATATGCACAAACATCATGTTATTGTAAATTTATAACTAGGTGTGTCTTGGGTTGATATGCACAAACATCATGTTGTTGTAAATGTTTGTCTAGGTGTGTCTTGGGTTGATATGCACAAACATCATGTTATTGAAAAATTATATCTAGGTGTGTCCTGGGTTGATATGCACAAACATCATGTTATTGTAAATTTATATCTAGGTGTGTCTTGGGTTGATATGCACAAACATCATGTTATTGTAACTTTATATCTAGATGTGTCCTGGGTTGATATGCACAAACATCATGTTATTGTAACTTTATATCTAGGTGTGTCCTGGGTTGATATGCACAAACGTCATGTTATTGTAAATTTATATCTAGGTGTGTCTTGGGTTGATATGCACACACATCATGTTATTGTAAATTTATATCTAGGTGTGTCCTGGGTTGATATGCACAAACATCGTGTTATTGTAAATGTTTGTCTAGGTGTGTCTTGGGTTGATATGCACAAACTGGCCGAGCGAGTTCTCCTGGAGCACCTGGTCAAGCTTGGCATCCTCCAGGGTGACCTTGATGAAATGATGAAGGTCAGGCTGCCAGCCGTGTTCATGCCTCATGGTCTAGGTCATTTTCTGGGCATTGACACACATGACTGTGGTGGTTACCCTCAGGTAAACAAAATGTTGGATATCATTTTGCTATGGTTATCCTTAGGTAATCAAAATAAGTCAGGGATAGTTTTTTACTGTTATAACTTACACAATAGCAATGAAATCTAGATAGGGGATTATCAGCTGTTCCATAGGCATCCAGGACATTTCCTCTCAGCCAGTTAGCCCTATCCCAAATTAGAAATAACTTCATTTGTGTTTGAACTCAATAGCTAAATAACCTAATAGCAATAAATTTAAAAGACAATAAAACAATAAATTTAAATAACATTAAAATAATCAATTGTATTATTTTTATCTTAAAACTTAAACAATGAAAGGTCCACCATGCCCTAACATAAGCAACTATTCTTTAAAAATCATTAACACATTCACATGGAATGTATTTAGCCCACTAAAAGAAGAAAAAAATATAGTTCTAAGTAAAAGTTAGGTTAACCAGAAAAGAAATTCAAACATAAAGTAAATTAAAAATAAACAAATTGTGTACGAATATAGGGTGTAGAGAGAATCAATGAGCCAGGCCTGAGGTCCCTGCGTACAGCCAGAACCCTCCAGCCTCGGATGGTGATAACAATAGAGCCTGGCTGCTACTTCATCGACCACGTGAGTTCATTTTTTTTTCTTCCTCAGACAAGCTGATAACTTCATTCACAATTAGAGAGATTTGCAGATTTTCATCTTACAGCTTTAAGAATCGTTATACAAGACAATTTATGACACGTTTTTTAGCCATTTTTAATTTTGATTTTTAAAATATCAGTTGATTGCAGTTCACTCAACCACGCAGACAATTTTATATTTTAGTTGATAGATTTGAGTAATTTCAGTGGCTATATTAATAATTAGAATGTTTCATAACAAAGTACTTTAATGAAAGAGATTTTCATTTCCTCAGTTACTGGATGCTGCTTTAAATGATGAAAGACACAAGAAGTTTATTGTGGAGGAGGTTCTCAGAAGGTTCAGGAGATTTGGAGGGGTGAGTAACTCTTATGTATAAATTATTCATACTTGCTTTAAATTATAAAATGGGCAATATTTCTGTTGTAAAAGTGTTGTAAGTAGCTACTCAGTGAATCTACTAGATCTTTAAAACTAATCTCTCTCGAATACTATCATATCTCATATACAATTAGTCCTGAAAGCCTATCCATAATGTAAATAAACTGTATTTCAAAACTAATTTGCATGTTTAAAATGAGTAACTATGTTTATCTTTTATTTTAAAAATTATGAATGTAATTTAAATTTGTGGTACTCTATACATTAATGTATTAATTTTTCTTACTGTTAGTATAGCTTTGAGTTAGGGTTATAATAAGACAAATGACACCCATTATTATCAAATAAAACCATATAGATATAGATTTTTCCTTCATAACACCATAATGAAACATAATTATATGCTGGTTTAGAAGTTTAGAGTGAATTATTGGTGAGGGTTACTGTTTAGAAATACTCAAAAAAAAATTTTATTCTGGGTTTTATGTTTGAAATTTCTGATCAAAGTATTTTAAAATTTTCCTAATAATAATTTAGACATGTATCAGCTGAAAAAAAAACAACTGGTATTGTTCTTGTTTAGGTGAGAATTGAAGATGATATAGCTATTACTGAGACGGGAGTGGAAAATTTAACCTGTGTACCTCGCACTGTGGAGGAGATAGAAAGGGTCATGGCAGAGGGGAGACAACAGCACCAGCCACTGCCCCAGCACCAGAAACAAGAGGCAACAGAGCAGTAGTTATCTGCTCCTGTATGGCAGCCATCACTGTGATCTTTCAAATGTAGAAGTATTATTGTTACTGAATTTACTTGAATCAAATAATAATTTTACAGTGTATTTTTATCATGTTATGACATATTGTCCAACATATTGCCCAATTATTGTTGATCATACTTATCTATTGCAAGTCAGAAACATATTAAGTCAGATATTATCTATATTCTGCTTTACATATAAACAGATGGCTTTTGTCAACAACAAAAAATTGCATTACAAATTCTTATTTTAATTAAATGATTAACTAGGTTTATCTTTTATTTTGAAAATTATCAATGTAATTTAAATTTCTTACATTTAGTATTAAAACAGATTTTCTTAAATATTTTCTAGATGTGTTTTTATTTAATACATTTTAATGGACAGGCTCTATTGTTCTTTTGTCTCATTGTTCTAAGTTAAGTGATAAAATTTAATTATTGATTCAACTGTGTATGTGTTACTAAAATCATTTCTAGAGAATAGTGTATTGGGTTTTTTTTTCATTTATTCAAAACTTTTACTTAACAATTCTATTCAATTTTTTCTTAATTCATTTTTTTTTATTTGCTGAATAAAATGTGTTGAAGAAAAGTGATTTTAATGACAAAGTAGTTAAATATTTTTGAGATAACTGTTAACTATTACACACCTAAAATGGAGATAAATTTTTGAAGCCTAAGAACAAAAACATTCCTACTGACAATACTAGTAAAACCCTAATAGTTTCTTTATTTATATTCTTTATTTTAGTCTACTTTCCTCCAGAGTTTCTTCCAGGCTTAAGATAATGCTTTAAATCTAAGACTTCTCAAAACATTAGCAAAATAATAATGCACTTTATATTATTATTTATTGCTCATAACTTATTTTCTCAGTTAATTTGGCCATACATGCTCTTGAAATAGCTTTAATAATTGGTTGTTAATTAAGATTTATTCTATGATATTTGAAATAGTAAATATTAAAATCTGCTTGTTAATGGGATCAACGGATTTAAAAACTTGATTGAATTTTGTAAAACAAAAAAAAAATTGAGAAAAAATAAAATATTTTTTATTGACTTGTTGGTTGTTAAATATTTTTTATGTGAAGTAGCACCCACTTTAGTTCATGTGAACGTTGCACAATTTACAAAGGGAATTAACCTTTGTAACCTGAATACTTATAACACAATTGCGTTCCAAAGAAGTATTTCAAATGCTTTATTCGACTTTAGTCTACCAGGCATATTACAGGGACAAAGCATATTCTTTTGCTGTGCGGTCTCTCTGTTCTGCAATATTTGAAATGAAAAAGCTATAACAAGCGACTTTCGTGATGCTGAACAGACAGACCGCTGGGTCCAGTACATCGAGATGTTGAATAGGTCCCCTCCACCGTATATTCACAGACACATCACCAGCTTGAGAAGAGCGATAAGTGAACACAGATCTACCAACTAAAAGTGAAGTCATATACATCTAGGATTCAGAATATTCTAGAAAATTAAGACACAATATTATCTGTTACCAGGTGCTAAGGAGAATTATGCTGGAGGCCCTTGACAAGAAATTAAGACTAGAAAACACAGGCTTTAGCCAGGACATTTATGCGCATAATTATTGACAGAGTTTCTTACAGGCTTTTTTCTCCGGGGGGGGGGGGGGGGGGGGCACTTGAAATTTTCGGGGAGGGGGGGGGGGCGGACACTATTAAAAGTATATATTTTCTATATACATTCCATTTCGTTCGGGGGGGGGGGGGGCAGACTTTCTTCGAACAGATACCTGGAACTCTGGTTACTGAACCGTCTATTGAGTGGCAATCGCTACATAACTTTGTCGATGTTTAAAAGGCGTTTGATAGTGTGGACGGAGATTGATAGATCACTTCAGAATGTGTGTGCTTCAGTCGATGGCATATCTTTTAAAATACATCAATTTTGTTAACTTTCCAGTCAATTTAATTTAACGATTTCTAGATCTATATTCAATGACACGAGTGTGATATCAAGATTAATTAGTAGCGGTAGACAATGAGCTGTTTCCAAACGAAAGAGTCGACCACCGACGTTAATAAGGGACAGATAATTGGTCGCGTCTTAGAGCTAATTTTTATTTAGTAGCATAGGATGTCGAACTAATATCTCAGAATTAACAAGAAGCCGAAAATTAAAGCAAAGATTAAAAACCATTGTAAACATTAAGCTCTTAGCATAAAAAATATTGCTAGTTTTGGTAAAATCATTGGTTTCATTAATTGTTTTACCATTTAAAAGGATTTGTTTGGTTTTTTCTTAGCAGAGTTTCTTCCAGGCATCTCTTCGGGGGGGGGGGGGGGGGAGGGGATGCTCAGCCCCCCCCCCCCCCCCATTTTTACCGCCCCCCCCCCCCCCGAACGAAATGAAATTTATATAATTTATATAGAAAATATATACTTTTAACATTGTCCGCCCCCCCCCCCCCTCCGAAGAAAGTCTACCGCCCCCCCCCCTCCCCCGAAAATTTCAAGTGCCCCCCCCCCCACCCCGGAGAAAAAAGTCTGGAAGAAACACTGTTTCTTAGTGGTTATAAAAAGTGATTATTAGAGAATATTAGGTCTATATCTGTTTTTATACTCCTTCTGTTTTACATATTACAATGAGCTGCGTTGTTTATCTTTCGATATCATCATCATGTGACTGATAACATGGTTTTCTTACTAGTTGTTACAGTACCATTGTAAAAAAAAAAATAATCTTTAGGTTATTGTTATTTCTGTTGACTATGATTATTCACCTGAGTTTGGGAGTAAACTTTTGACAACTTGAGTATCTATAAATAGGAGCAATCAAGACTATGGCGTCCGGGAAAACAAAGTAATTTTTAAATTTGATTTTATTATTAGCTTAATTTCATTGTTTAAAATCAAAATCTAATTTCACAAAAATCTATTTATTACTTTAACTGGGGACTCTGATTGCGCGTGTATATATATATATATATATATATATATATATATATATATATATATATATATATATATATATATATATATATATATAGCATATCATGGGTGAGCTTTTTAACAGTTGCTGCAAAATAGCTGCCTCCCTCGAGAATCTTGCATTCGTTTTTGTCACAAATTTCAATTTATAATTCTAGTTGCTAATATTCCAAACTAGTTTACTAATATAAAATTGATACAATTTTAAAAGGTCTGACTTTTTTTTTTAGTTTCTACCCTTATGGCGCCCCGTAAGGTCAGCCTCCACCCATCCCCCCCCCCTTACGCCCATACTGCCTATATGGATAGTGAGTAATATTAAAAAGCATTTTCCGTGTTCAGGCCAGCATTCTGCCGAGGAGATCATACCCATGAAATCCCCATGGAACTTTTCAAACAAAATCGTGCTAGACTGTGTGAGAGGTTGAAAGCTACTGGAAAAGTTCCAGAAAAATCATATGTGCTGCTGCAGGGTGGGGTTGCTGACACACGTAATGATTCAGATCATGAGCCTCTCTTTCGTCAAGTAATTTGTTTACTTTTCTGTGACAATATTATGAAGCTTTTTTTTTCTGTATACTTGTATGGGCGTGTGATTTTTTTTACAACCCTTACAATTTTAGCAACTACCAGAAAAAAACATTGCTTTATTGACTTCCAGTGAATATAGAAAACCTTTGGATTTTAGTTTAATCTACATAAAATGCCAATGTTATCTTAAATAAATATATTAAAAAATTTTTATTATTATGCCATTTTCCTCACAAAACTCCCGTTGAGGCTTGTCTGCATAAAAACATTGTTCCTGAGGTCAGAAATTTCTTATTCATCAATAGATTTTTATATATAATTAGCTCTTTTTAAACACAGGAATCATTTTTTCATTGGGCCTTTGGTGTGGAGGAGCCAGACTTTTATGGTGCTATCGAAGTAGATACAGGAAAAGCTATTTTGTTTCCACCTCATTTGCCTGAATCTTATGCAGTTTGGATGGGAAAGTAAGATGTTTACATGATGATGCTAGTAGTAATGTAATAACCTGATAATTTTCTTAATGGTAAAATCTTTGTACTCTGGTTTTAATATTAGTTTAAACTATAACTTATTATTCATCAAAGTAGAGCTCTTGATCATTTCAATGTTTGCATTAATACATAAAATTAATTCACTGATAGTTTCCAATTATAAAAACTAAGGTCTTGATTTAGGTCCCTCTAAAAAATTGTTGATCTATCTTTTTTTAACTAGGCTTTTGACGGAAGATGATTTCAAGCACCTGTACTCAGTTGATGAAGTTCACTTTGCTGACAAGGTATGTATTTACTAAATGATTAAAAATTAATTAAATAAATAATTAATTGATATTCTTAATTGCTTACATCATTAAGTTTAGATATTAATTTAACTTTTGATATTTGAAAATTTTTAATTATAATATACTCCATTTTTATATTTTGTTGATTTTATCAAAATATCTCTTTTAGATTTCAGATGTTTTAAAGAAAAAAGAGCCATCTCGACTGTTAACCCTGGTATGTTTGAATAAAGCTATTTTTAAAGCAGCATTTAAATAAAATTAAAAGTTAATATACTTATTAAGCTAGTTATTGCTAAATCAAAATTGTTAAATAAAAAAATGAAGATGAATAAATGACTATATTAACTGCTTTTTATTAACTGCATAAAGATTGTTTAATGCTTCTGTGTTTAAATTCAACGTTTAAAATATTTTCGAAAATAATTTGAAATAACTACACAATTTTTTTTTTCCAGCATGGTTTAAACACAGACAGTGGCAAGTACAGCAAAGAGGCAGTTTTTGAGGGTATTGCTGAGTAAGTTCTGCAAACTCCGGAATAGAAAATTTAATACTAACATAACCTTGCCCTGTGTGCTTTTTGTTTATTAATTTATGATGTGTAGGCTTATCGTTATTAATATTTAAAAGTTCTATTAGTTTAGCACAACATTTTTGTAAATAAATCTGTTTATGAAAAATCTTTATTTATAATTACTTTCTGATATTTATTTTCATGTATGGATTTTTTAAATTTATACAAACACAACTTGTTTTTTTTTTTTCTTAAAAATTAGATTTACTGTCAACAATGAGATTTTACATCCAGAGATCACTGAATGGTAAAAAAAATTTTAAAGTCTTTAAACATCTTTGATTAAATGTAAATATTCTATATTTTAGCTTTACAATTTTTTTAGCACAAATGAGTTACATCAAAGGCTTTCTTTGCTCTTTTTTTTAAACAGTCGTGTCTTTAAAACTGATTTGGAACTTCAAGCTCTACACTATGCAAATAAAATCAGTAGTGAAGCCCACATTCAGGTTGGAGAAACTTTTAAAAAAATTTTAAACTAAATATGTTAGCACTCATCTAAAACTTAGTTAGCCAGAAAAATATTTTAAATTAACTGTTACATTTTTTTCCTAACCCTGATATTATATTTATTTCATCAGTATTACTTTTTGTTCCTGTCTGTTAGCATTTTTTTTCCATAAATTACATTGTGATGAAATTTAAACCTTGATTTCACCCAACACATGTAGGTGATGAAGAATGTCAGACCAGGAATGTACGAGTACCAAGCTGAAAGGTAGGCCACTCTTTATCGTAGGTCAATTAATGTATCACAACCTGTTGCTCATTGACCTGTATAATAACACTGTTATTTAATCACTTCTCTGAACTGCTATCATTCATTTTTTTATATAATGAATGATGGTTTCCTTTGTTTTAGCATGTGCACTATTCTTTGGTCTAATTAATAGGCCCTATAACTGATAGTAAAGCACTTTAAAGATAATTTCTTTTCTTATCATGGTTTAATAATATAGAAACATTATTTTGGTCTGTAAAACTTGACCTTCAACCCTTGAAGTTAATAACCACATATCCTATTACAACTGTATGACACAATTTAATTAGATAAGTACCATAGTTATTTTAAAATATTTTTTAATATAAGAAATGTTTTAATTTATTCAAATGTATTAATAGACAAATTTTACTTTCAGTATATTTCAGCACTACTGTCACTTCACAGGAGGTCTACGCATTCTATCATACACCTGTATTTGTG